AGTCCTAGGGGTCCCTTACAATCTCAAAAGTAGTCAAAACCATCTAACATCTTCAACGTCTCCTCGGCCATAAGAAGAAAATCTCATTTGCCAACAAACCGATTATTAAAAAATAATGATCCTGATCCTACAAACTCGTGGTCAACACGACACGAAAGTTTCCTAGTCAAAAGTAGCTGCTGACTAACCATTGCCACCGCTTCACGTGTACGGAAATCTCCATGGAGCATTATTTTTTGTGCTGGGATTTGGAATGACATTGACCGGAGTAGCATAAACAAGACCAAACTCGTGGTCAACACGATATATTTGGTTATGGTGTTATTCCCATTATGTACTCGAGTTCATCTTTGACCGAAATTAAAACTCCATTATAAGAAGAACATGGAGCTATATTGTTTCAAGCCAAAATACAAAGAACAAAAAATGGGGGAAAAATGGGTTAGAGGAGCAATTGTAATGTTGGTTTTGGTAACTGGGTGGTATTATTCTTGCTGTTGTGGGTGTTTGGAGGAAGAGAGAATTGCCCTCTTAAACCTCAAGCATTCAATCCGTCCCCCAACTGGCAATGTTCTAGCATCTTGGGAAAGGCATGGTGATTGTTGTAAGTGGGTTGAGATTGAATACAACATCACAACAAAGAGAGTGATCAAGCTCTCTCTTAATAATACTAGGGATTGGAACTTTGGACATTGGTATCTGAATTCTTCTTTGTTTTTGTCCTTCAAAGAGTTGAAGAGTCTTTTCTTACATGGAAACTACATTTTAGGCTTCATGAAGAATGAAGGTCATTCTTTCTTTCTCTTCGAGCAACATTTTTAATTATTCATTTTGTGCGATATATGGTATTAGAATTTTTAGTTTTGCAATACAACTGACTATATTCATTTCTTGCACAGGTCTAGAAAGGTTGTCAAGCTTAAGCAATTTGAAGGTTCTTGATTTGAGTTATAACCAATTAAACAATAGCATCCTATCATCTTTGGCAAGTCTTTCCTCCTTAAAAGTGTTAAATCTAGCATTCAATGAGATGGAAGGAAGTCTCCATAATCCAGGTAGTCTTTTATGTAACATAACCAATTAATTTGATATACTTTAAGAAATGAGGCATGATATCCAATGTTAACATAATTATGTTTCTTGAGGGACTTGGAGTTGCTCATTAATTACTTGTAAATGCATAAACAATAATGCTTATTACTCATCAACCCTGTGTGCAGGCGTTAAAAGACCATTGGGACTAAGTAAATTGGAAGTGCTTTATTTGAGCGGTAATTCTTTCAATAACATGATTTTATCTTCCCTAAGAGGGCTTCCATCTCTCAAGATTCTTGATTTGAGCAACAACAAATTAAAAGGACCACTAAATATTAAAGGTAGATTAATTGTTTCACTTGATTTCTATTTTCATCAATCATTGTATATCCTTCTAATAAAATCTTGTTACTTTTTTCTCATTGCAATTCAACTAATTTCATTTTGTCTTTGTGACTACTAGAATTAGTTGCTTTAAATGAGTTGAATAAGTTGGATTTAAGCAACAATAATGTCAAAAGTTTCATGGCTCCCAAAGGTATTAATTGAAGTAGAAAGTATGGTTATGATGAGGCCCTATTATTCTATTCCTTCCATCAACAAATACACTAAAAGAATTAGAAAACTTGATCCATTACTTTCATACTCATAATTTTTTGATGAAGTAATAAACCTTGTTGTAGGTATTAAAAGAGCATTGAGCGTAAGTAATTTAGAAGTGATTCATTTGTCGGATAATTCTTTCAATAACACAACTTTATCTTCCCTAAGAGGGCTTCCATCTCTCAAGATTCTTGATTTGAGTAGGAACAAATTAAAAGGAATACTAAATATTAAAGGTAAATCAATTGTTTCACTTGTTTGCTATTTTCATCTGTCATTGAATATCTTTCTAATGAAATGATGCTTCTTTTCCCTCTCTTTTATTTGACTGTTTGTATTTTGTCTCCACCAGAATTAGTTGCTCTAAACAATTTGAAGGAGCTGGATTTAAGCGAAAATGAAGTGGAAAGTTTTGTGGCTCCCAAAGGTGCATATGATCAAACTAGAAAGTTTGGTTATAACTTATAATGAGGCCTAGTTATTTTGATCCTTTCATCAATAAAAGAGAGAGAGAGAGAGAGAGAGAGAGAGAGAAAAAAGGAAATGCTTACCAATATTTTAGTTTCTCTATTGTACATTATCTCACTTTATCCAAGCTACTAATAACAACTGAATACTTAATCTTCAGATAGTCACACTTTGAAGGAGTTAGAAGTATTGCTTTTGGACGGATCTTCTCTTCACAATAATTTTCTTCAAAGCATTGGAACACTAAATTCTCTTAAAGTTTTGTCCGTGTCCAACTGTGAGCTCAATGGAACTTTGCCTAGTCGAGGTAAAACATATAATCTTCTTGCTAATCCAACATATATATATAATCTTCTCATAAGAAATTTAGAATTTTGATTTTATGTAACAATTCTTCATTATTTTGTTTCTTATCGTTTCTTGTGTTAGTAATTTCATTTTTTTCCTTCCTCAATAACTGATATTTACAGGATGGTGTGAGTTGAAGAACCTTGAAGAGTTAGATTTAAGTGGAAATAATTTTGAGGGAATGCTTCCCTCCTGCTTGGGAAACTTGTCATATCTTCAGGTGTTGGATGTATCATTTAACCATTTCAGAGGAAATATTACCACCAGCCCTTTTACCAACTTGAAATCACTTGAATATCTCTCATTTTCAAATAACAACTTTCAAGTCCCAAATTCCTTTTCGATGTTTGCTAACCACTCCAAGCTTAAGGTCCTTATGGGTGATGCCAACAATTTGGTGCCAGAACCTCTCCTTCAAACTCCAACTCCAAAGTTCCAACTTATATTTTTGAGTTTGTCTAACCTCGCATTAAAAAAACCTCCCTACTTCCTCCATCACCAAAATGTCGCTAGGTTTGTTGATCTCTGCCACAACAACATTACAGGAGGATTCCCATCTTGGTTGTTCATGAACAATACAGCATTAGAAGCACTCCATCTAGGATATAACTGCATTTCAGGACCTTTGCAGTTACCTACACAACATCATTTCAACATTGCAATGTTAGATGTATCCGGCAATAGTTTACTGGGAAATCTTCCTATAAACATGAGTTCAGTCTTTCCC